ATAAAAGATTTAAAGAAGTTTTCAACGTCAAGAGAAGGATTCAAGGTAAGATTACTGAAAGAACCTCTCTTGAATCTCGAGTTTTTGAATTTCAAAACTTATTTTTGGTTCAAACCGGATTTTGATGGTTTTTGAGTAAAACTAGGGTAGAAATTGGAGATCTTCGGTTCTTTGGTATTGTTTTAGGACCTAGAACCCAGATCTAGTGGTTTCCCTTTGAAAAATCTCGACTTGGGACTGGATTTGTAGGTTTTGAATTGATTTCTGCGAGCTTCTCTCGCGCAGCTGATTCCACCGGTCGACCAGTGCGGTCGACCGGATCACATGGAAACCGGTCGACCTATGCAGTGGACCGGATTGCAGGCTGACCGGTCGACCTGTCCGGGCGACCGGTGTGCACACTACCGGGCGACCGGGAGGGTTGCACTGCTCTGTCACCAGTCGACCGGTTGACACGGGGTTTGACCCTGTTTGGCCTGAAATCGCTGTTTTGACCCCTGTTTTCGGGGAGAACTCAAATTAGCTTCATTTGGGGACTTGAGATAGATGGATTAGCATTGTTAATCCTTGTTTTGAGATTGAAAACCCTTGGAATGATAATTTGAAACATGAAAATGGATTAGGGCACACTAATAGGAAATCTTGGTATATGATTGATATTGGATTACTTTAGGACTGAGAATTGATCCTAGAGTGTCGTTTTGTATCAGTGCTCGTTGTGGATTCAGACTGAAGGGGCTTGAGGAAGCGGAAGCCGGAAAAGGGCAACGTTAGTCCCATGTTTGATTGTGGGAGGTAGGATTTCTATCCCTTTTCCTTGTGAGCCTGTTTTCAAAAAGGATTTTGGCCTTGAAAATGTTTTAAAGAAAGGGATTGATTTGTGAAAGAAAATGCTTTGAAAACCATGGCTTGTTTAGTCATGGAACCTCATGGCTTGTCCAGTCATGGGGCCCGCGGCTTGAGTAGTTCGTGGGGTCGTATTAACGATTTCAAAATGTTAATGAATGATTTCTTAAGCAAAGAGATCTTGTGAACTGGTAATAGAGTCTATTGCTGTAAGCCTAGATAGGATGCGGAGAGTGCATCCTCGGGGGCAGAACCCGAAACTCGGTCCGGGTAGGCGAGGCACTTGGTTAGGTAAGTAATTTGTACTAATTACTTGCTGAAGCCTGTAACATGGTTATTTTCAGTTATATTTCCTTTGAGAAAAAGGATGTGAGGTTCCGGCTGTTCTGTCGGGACTGAATGTCTTATTTTATTTATGTATTCAATTATTTATTCATGCGCTCATTTATTTTAAATATTTCAAATTATATCCTACTGGGCCTTTCGCTCACGTTTTATGTTTTAAATGTTAAACCCCTCCCAGGAGACTCGAGGAGCGGTGCAGGGTAGCTGGAGTTGCTACTGTTGGATTAAGTGGGGATTGAGTTTATCCTCTTGAACAAATGTAAGGACTTTGAGAATTCTGTAAACTTATGTAATATTTGGATTTACTAGACCGTGGTTGATGTATGTTGTAATGATTAATTACATGAGCATGTATGTACGATACTGTATGTCTTGTGGGGTGGAGCCCTGTGTGCCAGAGGCTCCTGGATTATGTAATTCATTTATATTTTAATGCAGTTAAGGGTGGGGCCCGGTCTGGGAATCTGCTTTATTAATCCCTAATCGAGCTCCACGTCACCCACCCCGTTTGGGGGGCGTGACAGGCTCAGAAAACAATCTCCCATTTGAGTCGAAGGATAATTATCCTTCCATAAACTTCATCATCAATCATAAAAAAGTTATGCATACAAACAAACAATTCACAAACATATCATGTCATTTTTAAAATTTCATTCAAGTTGTAGGTAAGATTTGTACTTACATAGTCTCCGACGAACAAGTATTCTCTACTTGTGATCGTAAGAAAATCTAATCCTATTTAAAATACCCATTAAGAGTGTGTCACGCCCCAAAATAGGGGTTAGTGACGTGGATGCTCGTTTAGAAGTTAAACATGAGTAAGAAAGTAATTAAACATTAGGAAATATAATAATCAATACCAAAAATAAAATATTAAAGCAATTTCCAAACAAATCCCACATTTTAATGAAATTAGATTACAAGAAAGTGATGGGGACTTTCACACTTTTCTAATAAAACAGGTTTAAAACCAAGCCACTGACATCATTATGGGTCTCCCCCACAGCATATTTAATGTTGTACATACATGAACAAGTAACGAACATTTACAAACATCGACCACAGTCTACGTATGTTTAAGGTGTACAATCCGATGTTTTACAATTCTTACATAGAGACAACAAGAACAGAAGATGGCACAACTTCTCTTGAACCGCACAAGCTAGGGTTACCAGAGTTCGCTACTTACTCTGCACTGCTTCTAGCGTCGCCCATGAGGGGTTAAATATATATAGAGAAACAAAAGGAAAACATGAGCAGAATGCCCGGTATGATATATTTTGAAGTAAACTTTATAAGTAAGTAAATAAATAAATGAATAGAAATGTACAGTCTTAACACAACAACTGGGACCTAAAATTCTTTTTCTGAAAAGAAATATAAACTTAAAATTCCGTATTATTGGCATCAACAAGTAATTTATAACTATGATAAATTACTTACACAAGCACAAGCACAAGCCTTATCACCATCGTAGTGTCCGGGTCTGGATTTTAGGTTCTGCTCCCGAGGATACACTCTGCATATCCTATCTAGGCTATCAACGGGCTTACTAGTTCGCAAGATATATTATCTTAAAAAAATCATTCATTACAACTTTAGAACAGTTCATTAGGATTCCAATAGCAATTATCAAGCTATTGTGTTAAAGTACTTTTTTTTATCAAACATGTCATTTCTTTAAAACATTTATATAGGCCAAAAACTCTTAAAACAGGCTAACAAAAAAATGACAAGAAATCCTACCTCTTAAATGCCAAACTTGTGGCTAGCCTATCAGTATCCTAGTCTCCGCTTCCTTCAAAGTTTCTAATCTGATTCCTCAACTAGCATTATCACAAAACAACGCCTTAGGACACAACCCTTATTCCTAAAGCAAATCACATTCAATTACGTATAATTGTATCATACTAATGTACCTTTACTTAAGTTCAAAGCTCACAAACCATTTCATACTTCAAATCATAATTTTTTGAGAATTGGAACCCACACCAGAAAATAAGATATAACAAGGATTAATGTGGCTAATCCACTCATTTGAGTTCCCAAATGAAACTAATTTGGGTTCTCCATTGAATTTCGACCAAAATTAGGGTTTTAAATTAAATCAGGGCCGAACCAAGTGTGCACTGGTCGACCAATGATGAAGAGGTTCATCTCCACCGATCGGCCGGTAGAGAAGAGACCGGTCGACCACCCCGGTCGACCGATGGGAGCTGGACAGATCGGCCGACATGGTCGATCCGAAGAAAACAGAGCCAAAACCTGCAAATTTGAATTCAATTTCAAAATATTTTCAAAGGAAACAACAAGTCCAGGTTCCAAATACTCAATCAAGTCCAAAGAATCAAATTTCCTCAAATCTCACCATGATTTCCACCAAAACCATCAAAATCAAACTTAAACTGAAAATAAGTTTTACCAAAGGAAAAATCCAATATTCAATAGAAGTTTTTCAGAAATCTTACCCTAAATCCTCCCTTTGATGTTGAAAACTTCTTGAGGTTCATTTTTGGTTCAATTCTTGGTCAAAACTCCCGTGGAAATGAGTTTGAAGATAAGAGAGGAAGAGAGAAACGAGAGAGAGAGAGACAAGAGGGGGAGAGTGAGCAATCTGCGAGAGAAAGAGTGACGTGGGAGAAAGAGAGAAAAAGAAAGAAAAGGAGAGGAAAAAGAAATAAAGGAAAAGTAAAGGACAAATATCAAAAGATATTTAGGAAAGTAGACCAGAAAATGCGTATCCACACACTTCTGGGGTGAAAATATTTAGAATTCTTGGAAATGTTTAAACTTAAATATTAGAAACATTTAATGAATATAATTAATTCCATAAACTAGATTAGGTACACTAATAAATCATAATTAACATAATTAATCATGTTTAATCTCTCGAGGTGTTACAGAGTGTAAGTAAACTTACACAACCAGAAATCAATTAACTTATACTAATTAAGGAATAATCAGAATAATTCTTTTATCTACCGTTGTTCTAAGTCCCTTAACTTAAAAAGGGAATCAAAGAAAATATTCCCTAACAAACCTACTCAAATACTTTTAGGGTTCATTTGGTTGGGAGATCCTGATTAAAAAATTAGAGTCATGTGCTCAACCTCGTATTTGGTGTCGTATGAATTAGAGTCAGAGACTTGAGTTAAGATGACGTTTGGTTTATGTATTTAGAATCATGATTCAGAATCATTCTCGTTTTACGTGTATTTTTTATGAGAGAAAATACTGTAGAGAATTATTAATCATGATTCAAAATTAATGACGAATATAAGAAACAAACGTCACCTAAGAGTCATTTTTTGGGTCCTAATTTAAAATCAAGTCCCCCTGATTCAGCCCAAAACTTCAATCTTTGCACAGTAATATCACTATGCTTCGTGGAGTTAATCACTTTTCTTCCCGTGGGAAACCGAGCGGTTTGCGAAGAAAAGAAGAAAAACGCTCCACACATACAGAAAAACGAGGTTCCCAACCAGAAAAATCGGCATCGGAAGCTGGAATTAATCGGCGATCGAGGAGCTTAGGATTCGAAGTGGTCGTCGATAGCTTCGAGGACCGACAATGGCAGTTGAGGACGTTCAGTTGCTGCGAATATCACCGTCGGACTCTAATGGAAGCTCTATTCCAACACCCACGCCGAGAAAGGAGCAGCAAGCCGCCGGCGTCAGGATTCTTCTGCAGATCATGATGCTTGTCCTCTCCTTCATCCTCAGCCACGTTCTCCGCCGTCACAAATTCTATTATCTTCCAGAGGCCATTGCTTCCCTTTTGATAGGTATTTATTCGACTAACCTAGCTCTTATTAGTAATTAGGGCTATTAATTAGCAGTTTGTTTTGGAAAAATGCAAATTTAGATTTTACATTATTATTTATGTGGCAGGTTTAATTGTTGGTGGACTTGCTAACATCTCAAATACTGCAAATAGAATCAGGTCTTTTTTGCATTAATCTATAATCATAAACCCACTTTTTCCCTTTCCTTTTTTTTTTTTTTTTTTCATACCGGAAATGGATTGATTTTGAGCTGACTAGAAAATTTTCTTCTGCTGCTAAATTGTGCAGATCATGGTTCAATTTTCACGAGGAGTTTTTCTTCCTATTTCTCTTACCTCCAATCATATTATATCTAATCCAAACCATTCGATTTTTTTTCTTTTGTTTAAAATTTCTCGTCAGAGCTTTTTTTAAATTTTATTTTTTATGTTAAAGTTTTGATTACTTTAAACTGGCTAATTTTGCTACTACAAAGTGGTTTTCTTTGACACACTAGCTCTTACTCAGTCAGGATTCATTTGATGACGATGACATTGATGGTAATGTTCTTAAAGGGCCAGTTGTAACAGGAAGTAGTGTTAGTCGTATAGAGATAAGTCATTTTAGGGATCGCATTACGAATAAAATATGGGTGAAATACCAGAAAAGCCGTGAGAGACAAATTTGATATATGCTTGGCTTGTTATATAATTTCATTCACATTTTTTCTATTTATTTCGTAGTTAGCTTGTTATAATTTTGAGTTATAATTATTTGTATAATTTTTTTCTAGTACTTCATTTTTTTATTATATAACGAATTATTTTTTTTAAATTACACGTAACGAATTATATTTATTATATAATTTTTTAAATTACATTTATTTTGGTCATGATTCAAATTCAGAAAACGAGACAACCAAACACTGGTTCGAATAACATTTCAGGTTAGAATCAGAATCATGTATATACACATCCAAACGAAGGTTCTAATCACTCTGAATCATGATTCTGAATCAAATGACTCAAATCACCCTGATTTCAATTTTTATACCAAACGAACCTTTAATTGCGGTTAATTATGTCCTTAATAAAATAAAGAGAAATTAAACCTAATTTCCTTTCTTAAATAAATTGTTTATCAGTAATTAATCGACTTAGGTTAAATTAGTTGACACGTGGTGCACTTTGAAGACAGCAACCGACGGAGGGGTTTGATGGACTTACCGTGTTTAAAAACAAACCAAAAAGACCAAAATACCCACAGTTATAATCAAACCCTAATATGTTATTTTTTTCCCTGTCTCTTCTCTCTCTCTCTCTCCGTCGTCTCTATCGGTGGAGAAACGTCGATGTCGCGACGCTCGAGATCGCGGAGGATCTCACTGTGCCGTTCTGCCATCACCTGAGTTGGGTGAGGTAACACCAGCGGTTTCGGCTGGTCTCAACGCGAAGAAGATCGGAGCTATTTTTCGTCAGAAAACTGGCCGCGAGGTCCGTGATCCGCATCACGGCGCCGAGATCCGTGCAATCGTTCTAGACTGGACCATCTTTTTCTCTTCCCAAATTTCAAGTTCAGATTTGATTTCGTTTTTCCAATTTTCTCTTTCTTGAACTTTTTTTGTCCTTTTTCCAGAAGGCTCTTTCCTGAACTTCACATGGTGGTAATTTTGGTGGGAATTGTGTGGCAAGACGTGATCGGTTTTCATTGCCTAATCCGTAAATCATGAGGAGTAATCTTCCAATTTCTCTACCCTAGGGTTTTGAGCTCTTAACTTTTTTCCTTTGGGGGATGTTTTTATGCATGGTACTTTCTTCTTATGCATGGCGTAAAAACTCTGATTTTAATATTGTTAATGCCTGACATTAGTGTGTTTGATAATGTTAAACTTAAAAGCAGATTTTGATCTATTGCAAAAAAAATGCTGATTTTGAGTCTTCAAAGTTTAAGGTGTGTGTTTCAGGGTGAACGCTAATTTCATTTCAATCTTTTTTTGTTTTTTGTTTTATGCTGCGAAGTTTGAACGATTCCTTGAGTTAACATGTCAAATTTCGCATTCCCTTTTCTTTTTGGCGTTAAGTTTGAAACAATAGGAAAAAAATGGAAATAAGGGTACTGGAAAAATTAAAAATACTATATTTTCATTTTAGAACTTGAATTTGGGAGATTTTCAGTATGTTGTTTGTTCTTGACTCGCTTGTTCTGTATTAAGTTGTTTTTATATTTA